GTTGAAAATGCAATATTATATGTGTGAGGCAATCTAAATATCCAAAAGAATACTTCCAGAGGTGGGTTCCTACCAGTCCGCACCTATTCGGTAGAACCGGTTCGTCAAATCTACCGAACTGGTTAGAAGAGGTTCAACCAGTGGACCCCGAAAGCAGGCCACACCTGCAGAAGAGCTTCCAAAAATTTTTGAAACCCACCACTGAATACTACCATATATTTATGGTTCTTTTCCTTTATAAAAAACCAAACCATTGATGGGTGTCTTTTTTCAGAAACAAAAAATCCCATTATTACATATCCACCTGTGATCTCAATAAGGATTTGTTTTATTTCACTAAATGAATTTCAGCTTGTGTAACCAACTTGCCATGTGTGCAATTTAAGTATAGCAGGAAATCAAGCAAAAGGAAAAAAAGCCATTTTTAAAGATGATGCTTTTTGCTAGTGATAATAACAAGTTTTAATAGAATTGTATCTGTTGACACATTCAGGTTTTTAACTGTGTTTTTTATTTTTTAAATCCTTTTAAAACACCTTCTTTAGATTCAAAGGAACTCGATTTAATGTAAAAGCCACAACAACACTAATGCTATTCAGCAAATAGTTACATAAGAGGTTTTTTAAAAAACTCTTGTCTCTGGGTGCTTATGCAATGACATAGATCAGTTTTATTATGCTATATTGAATACAGAAGATAGTTGAATTTTGCTGCGTATAGCAGACTGTGTATATTTTATTTAGATGCAATATTTTATCACACAGAACAATATGGTCCACTTAAAAAAAAAAGTATGGCCAAGCGTAGAAAACAGGCTTTACAAATGTCTTAACATTAATCATAATCATTTATAGAACAGAACACACACACAAAAAGGTATATCTATTTCAGCATGTAAGACATACCTCTTATTTCCTGTGTAGTCAGATCTACGGAGGTTGTAGAAAGATCTGACAAAAACAATAAATTGTAGAGTTAACTTGTTAGGCAAACACCTGGCACTAATACATTCTGTGTACCAGCTTTGTTTGTCTGTATACGTATTTTGAGGAACTGTATTTCTGTATCTCCATCAGAGATAGAGTTCATGGATCTGTAATGAGAATTCTAGGCTTTGTAGCTCCCCTTCATTCATCCAGACAAAATGGGAACAAGTGAAATTGTAAAGACCTTTTGTCAAATGTATATGGAAATTCTCAGTAATTCCACAATAGATCCCAAAGGTTTGTTTTTCCAAGAGGCAACTCCAGAAAGTCCAGTTGCCACTTGGGAAAAGAAAAAAAAGCAAACATCTTTTGTCAAAGAACCAAGTGTCAGCTAACTGGATGTTTTTCATCTCCCATCTCTCCCTTTTGAAGATATAAAGCTATTGGGTTGAGCACTGAGTTTGCTTCTTAGCATTTAGCAATAGCAGTTAGACTTATATACCGCTTCATAGGGCTTTCAGCCCTCTCTAAGCGGTTTACAGAGTCAGCATATTGCCCCCAACAACA